GGAAATCCAACTCCAGCTGTGTTCAAGGTCATCCAGATGTGTAAACAATGACTCATCAGTGTTAAATTTCACAGAAGGGCGAGACAAAGGAAGTTAAACTTTGAAGCTTTTCCTCAAAATTAACGCATTTCTTTCGTTTTTTTTCAGTTTTAAGTATTTTTTATGTTTAATTACATTTATATCAAAAATTGCTAGGAACTAAAGCGATTAAGGTAGATCTAGCTGTCCTTTACATCCATAAACGTTATATGTCAGTGGAACAAATGGAGTGAGCTTTGAGCGTTCCATGATTTTTGGAGACTGTCTATACGCAGTCTTCCTAAACAAGCCTATGTGTATGTTTGTCCAAGAAGTTTTTGGATGAAATACAAACCGCACAAGTTCGAAATCGCATAAAAATAATCCGCATAAAAAGAGACCTTACAGTACAAGAATCTTCTTATATAAACAAAGGTCTAGACATCAACTGGGATGTTCATAGGAGAGTGTCATGATAGTCGCACCAACAAAAACTTATTATGCATATGAATAATTTTTAATGTTTTTTTCTTTATTATTGTATTAAAAGTTATTTTATTAATAAAAATAAACACATTTTGATTAATTTTAAAATTTTTATTTTATAAATTTTACAGTTCTTTAACAATGCTCTTATTCTTGGGAAAACATCTAGAAGTGATGTTGGTCACCATTTATATGATCTAATATATGAATTAAATTCCATCTGTCCAAGTATGTTAGTAGCAGTTTTACCACAACTTGAATTTAAACTAAAGGTAAGATTTTAATTAAAATATATGTTTTGAAATTGTATATATTATTTAAACCTGTAATATGCCTAATAATGTTTTATACCACTGTAGTAGCCAATGATTTCTAATCAGTACTTTAATTTTAATAGCTCTGAATTTGTATAAAAATTATTTGTGTAGTAGGAAGTTTTATTTTTTTCCAGTGTATAACAGTTGATGTACTTTAAAGAAACCATTTCATCTGAATATAGTTTGGTAATTTTCTCCAATAATCAAAAGGATTTTATTGACTGAAAATTCTGAGACTTTCAAATTTTTTTATATTAAGAGAATTAAATGGGTGTACTAAAATAATTCAAAAACAGTTACATCCAGTTTTTTACTTCTTCTTTTTTTTAAGAAATTTAGATTGCTAAACTGAATGAGACCAATTCAAAAGTTTAACTCTTAAAAATTTAAACTTAAATGTTTAAAACATTATATTCGAAGATATTCCAAGAACATTTTCAAGTATGCAAATTTTGGCTAATTGTGGAACTCACCATCAGCCTGAAGCAGACATGTAAAGTTAAGTCATGTATTGTTACAAAACAGACTCAAAATCCAAGTAACAAATTAATAAAATTGCAAATAATAAGTAACAAATATCAAACTAATGTGCAATTATCAACAAATATTTTCATACATCAGTTGGCATTTTGCTAAACAGGAAGTGACATCACATTTTTTAAATCACTTATAACTCAAAATGAATGCTTCAAATAAAAAAGTAGCCCTAGAGTTTTTGACTCAAAATTGACCTCTCTATAACCTCTCAAGTTTTTTACACACCTTTCTGTACACCCTGTATATTAAAAGCAAAGTTTGTGTGAGGTATCACTGCCTCACATAAACGACAAAAATTTAAAAATTAATTAGATTTACAATTTTAAAATTTCAAAACAACTTTTAAATGGTTTTTAAAAACATTCTTTTAATTTTCAATTGATTTGATTTTAATTTTAATTATTATTTTTAATGATTTTTATTTATTTAATTTTGCCTGGAATTTTTTAATCCTTAATTCCATTTTTTTAAATTAATTGCAACTGTTTCTATAATTATATTGTTATAGTTCTATAGTCATGCAATATAACTATAGAAATTGTTTTAGTGTTGTCTAATTTAGTGTTTTAGTGTCGTCTTGCACTAAAGATAATCAAATTTAAATTCATTTTAATTTTTTAGTAATTTCATTAATTTTTGTTTTATAAATTTGCCTGCTTTTTAAAAATTTTAATTATAAGTGAGTTAACATTGATTGAACTATCATGCTAGTGAGTTTCAAATTGAGGCCAGTGGTCAGCAAAAATATTGAAGTGTCAGCAAAGCAGTTTAAAATGTAAACAAAATTATATTTTAATTGAAACAATATTATATGAAATTGTTTTTAATATTTAGTATGTTTACTCTTAATGATAAAACGACTTTTTTATTATATTATGAAAGTTTTTATGATGATTCACAGATGTGCTGTAATACATTAAATTTTCAAATGAGATTTGTATGTTTCTGAGTGAAAATATTTGTTTGAGCTAAATTTAATGCCATTTTGAGTTTTAAAAATTGATTTTTTAAGAAGAGTCAGTCTACGTATTCGTTACTCGAGTGAATGAATTCAAAAATCACTCACGGTGATGATATTTATTTGGCTTGTTGCATCATTTGCCAAACTGCATATAGTATTAAATATGACTGAGTTAAATCATTTAGAAGACACCCATTGAAAAGTGTACATCTTCTTATTTACTATTTTTCATTTTTTTAACCAACCATTTTTCATTCTTCAGCTTGATATTTATTACCAGTAATTAATGAATGTACCATGCTCTTAATGTAAATCATTAATTTTTCTAAACTAAAATAAACTTTAGAAGGTACTGTATTCAAAAGAATCTGAATCAGGAGAAATTTTGGTATTGTCTCATCACTAATTATTATTATTATTATAGAGTAATTATAGTATTATCTAATAATTTTAATAAAATTTTGATTTATAATGAGTTTTATTTAAACAATTGCAATAATAAAAAATAAATAAAAACTGTTTATATTAATTACAAGTTTAAAAGCTTATTATTTTGTTATTACTGAATTTCCTGTCAGTTTATGAAATTTTTCACAGACTGGTAGGAAATTTCTGCAAACTGGTGTTGCCCAAGGTTAAAGAACACTGGTGTTCTTCAACCTTGGGCAACACCAGTTTACAGAAATACTACACAAAATAGAAATAACATGAGGATGATAAATGGGTGTTACTAAAAACTTTCCAAACACAAATTAACTTTAATGAACAATTATTTATTGTGACATCATCACAATGCTGGGTTGCAATTTTTAATTATATTTTTAATTTATTTAATTTAAATTATATGCTCTCCACTTCAAATTAGTACTGTAGTGTCCTGCCCCTGTACATCATACTTTTCCATTAGCAATGGAGTCATGCCAGTCATCTATCTAACTCTTCAGGAGAAAATTTTTGAATTGAAATAACAATTTTTGGTTTGCATTGGAAGTTCATGTATAGTTAGTTGGAGCTTCCTGCCTTTAATTTTTTTCATATTTGGTCTTGAATTTCATTTATCTAACATTGTTCTGAAAATTAAGGAAAGACAGATGGATGACAGTGGAAATTTATAGGTTTACAATTTTTTTCAAATTGCAGTCCAATTACAACTCAACTTTTGGTTAAGTCAATTTAACCTTCTTCAAGATAGAACAGAATTATGAAAGTCAATTTGTATACAAATTAAACTTGAACATAGTTCTTTTAATTTGGAAAGTTTTTAATAATACCAAATTATCATCCTAACATTATTTCTAATTTTTCAAATTATGTTTAAGAAAATAATCTTTGACTTCTTTTTGTTTTATTTAGTGAAAAAGTTTGGATTAATGGAATTGTACTGTATTGTTATGATGTTATATAAACTACAGAAATTAATTTAGTGAAAACAAATTGTAATGTATTTAAAATTATTTATTATGTTTTCTAGAGTAATGAAGAAAAAGAAAGACTTGAAGTTAGTAGATTATTGGCTAGAATGTTTTCTGATAAAAACTCTGATCTTGCTGCACAAAATAAACCATTATGGAATTGTTTTCTTGGAAGGTATGCATTTTCTAAAAATACTTTACTAAAATATCCATTTTGAAAGAAAAAAAATAGTGTTTACATTAATTTGCAGTTTTAAAAATTACAAGTCTACATAATTTTTTCCACATTTTTTTTCTACATAAATTTTATATTAACTCTAAAGACTGACCTCCATAATTATTGATCAATTTCTGTAAGACTTGATTTTTGTTTGTAGATTTTTCATTGCTTGTTTATGATCATTTTGAAGCAAGAATTGTGTCAAACTTAGTGATAGAACAGAGAAGTATAATTTTAGTCTATTAAACTTGGCTTAAATACTTCTGAAATATGTAAAGAAATGTGTGAGATTTATGATGAGTTCTTTGAGAATAATGTGATATTCAAACAATATTTTTATCAGAATAATGAGAGTTTTTTTATTGTAAACTTTTTTTATTAGTTTGTCAGCATTTTGCCATATTGTTGTTTTGTTTGCTATAATGATTAACTTAAAAAGTGGTTGAGTATTTAACTAAGAAATCTTATAATTATATAAATGAGACACATGGGATTATTTAGCAGTTAAACTTGATAAATACTAAATTATTTAGAGAAATTGAATATTTTTATAGCTTCATATAAAAATTGAATATTGTTATTTTATAATATGATTTAAATATTTTGGAAATTAAAATGAAAATATATTAATATAATTAAGTTTTGTAATTAGTTTTGTGATTTAATTTATAAAACATTTTATAAAATATATTTAAATAAATTATAAAACATTTCTAAAACTGTGAAGCTGTGCATCATCTATGCACAGATTATCAGCTGTTAAACATTGAGTCTCTTCCAGATATCTGGAATGTTTAGGGATATTATGCAAGTATATACTGTTTCAAGTAGTGAAGCCTTATGTAGCATATGGATGATGATTCTATAACACTCTAGGTTCTTCAGTTGTTGCTCTAGATCTCTTGCGAGTGGCTCTGAGTGTAATTAGAATTCTTCCACAATTGTTCACCCTCAATTTGAATGTTCTTTAATTAGTAGCCTTCTCTAAATGTTTTTCTTCTACCCTTCTGTCACTTGGAGCTGCCATATTTAAAATTCATATCTTTAAAAAAAATTAAAAAATGAAACTAATGAAATGAAACTAAATGAAATTAAATTGTCAGTGGATGAACTATAAAATGTTTTTTGTTGTCCCTTCGAACATCATCAGGAAATTACAATTTTATGGCAGAGATGCCCTTTATTTGGAGGCTTCCTCAACATGCAGAACATTAAAAAATTCCCTCAGGCAGCAGCATATACATTTATAAAAATTATACATTCAATAAAAAAGGTTTCAGCCAGGACATAAATATAAGCTTTAAAAAATTTTTTTTTACAAATGAAATTTTCAGTGGATGAACTGTAAGTGACCTCTTTCGTTGTCCGTTTGAATCCTAAACACTAAATCATAGGAATACACAATTGCCACCACCTCAACAAGTTAGTTCTTTGGGGATTACTACTAATAATAATAATAATAATAATAACTCTCCCGTGGTCACCACCTGGTCGTGGTGGGAGAGCTCAGTATTTTTACTGAACCATAGGGCAATGCAGGCTGGAGCACAAGCTCCTGGTAGGGACACCCATGCCAGTAAGGTCTATGGGGAGAAATGAAGCTAAGAGTGACCACACACCCACATTCTGTGGAGAAATTTATGATGGTTGTAACCAGATCTAAGCATGATACTGGCTCGGACGTCGCCCGGGTTAACAAGGTCCGCGTTCGTGGGTTAGGCAGAGGCTCACGTTCGAAAAATAGGCTCCAGTCTCCCTTGGTTACCGGTGGCGAAAGCAGCACTGGCCCAAGCATGGCTATTGCAATGCCCTCAACAGAAATGAGGAATCAACCTAGCTTTGGTGTTTCTGTGGCAATGCATCAACAGACCACAAAAACTGGAAAACCACGCCAACGGATGAAATGGACAACAGAAATGAACAAATTTATCATCCGCACTTACTACACCATCACAAGACTCGAAACAAACATGACAGCATACAGACAACAACTACACCACATATTCACACAACAATATCCTCACCTCACTGTCACCGAACAAAGGGTTGTTGATCAAAAACGAACAATTATACACAACAACCTTATCCCACAAACAACACTTGAACTTATCAAACAACAGGTTGCTGATCAAATACATCAACAGACAGAAACATTTAACATTAATGAAGATTACGTAACCTGTCAGGATAATACAGCAACAAGCACTGATTACAGCACACACACAAGTACCACTAATGATAATGTAGGCACTTCCCCATCCATCACTGATAACATACACGTAGAATTAGTTAATACACTCTCACTTATATTTCAGGAAACACCCACTAAATATACAGGCACAGATCCCACACAAAGACCACAAATACCGAAAATCAACACGTCAAAGGTAGTAGGAAAAACACTAAATTATGTAAACACTCACTTACTATCAAATTACATTCATTTAATTTCTACACTCTCAGACATTCATACATTAGTTTATGCTGGAGCAGTCACAGTAATAACACACCATGGACTGAAAATACAATCACAGACAGACAGACAGACAGACACAAAACACAATTCTATTACAAGCCTACCTGGTAGAGAAGAATAGAAACACAAATAAATGACATTAGACAGCAATTAGGCAGGTTGACACAATACACTAAAAACAACATAACATCCAAATTAAAGAAACAACTCAAAAACATTTTCAAGAAAATCAAAACACACACAAAACATGAACATCACAACACATACATTACAGAATATATTGATACACTAAAACAGAAACTCGCAACCAAAGCACGTAGACTCAAATGATACAAAACATGTACACTACGAAAACATCAAAATAAGTTATTTACAAACAACGAAAAAATTTTCTACAGACAAATCAGTAACAAAACAAACACTGATACACAGCACAGTGGCACACCAACAGAAGAACACACAACTTATTGGTCTTCTCTTTAGTTCAATGCTGTTACACACAATGCTGATGCAGGCTGGATCAAGGAGAAAAACAGAAACTTGCATAACATACCAAGTATGCCCTGTGCTGAAATAAACATACACGACATTCGCTACGCTGTTAACAGAACACACAACTGGATGACACCTGGTTTAGACAACATTCACAATTTCTGGTACAAAAAATTTACATCGCTGCATCAGGAACTAGCCAAACATCTAACACACATTATCATCAATCCACAAGACATGCCAAATTTTCGGGGTATCACCTATATTAAACCTAAAAGCAACAACACCACACACACCACACAATACAGACCAATTACATGTCTTCCAACACTCTACAAATTATTGACAGCATGTATCACAAACAAAATATATAAACATGTTGAGGAGCACGACATTCTTACAGAACAACAAAAAGGTTGCTGTAGAAATCACAGGGGATGCAAAGAACAGTTACTCATAGATTCAGTCATTCTACAGCAAGCACACGAACAACACAGAAAATACACATGGCATATATAGACTACAGAAAAGCATTCGACAGTGTTCTACACAGCTGGCTGCTACATATTCTACACATGTACAAAATACATCTATTACTCATTGCATTCTTCCAAAACACTATGCAGCACTGGAGAACACCACTATATCTCAGGGTTAGTAACACTTCCATACAAACAAATGAAATATTCATTAGGCGAGGAATTTTTCAAGGAGATTCCTTGAGTCCTCTCTGGTTCTGCCTAGCCCTGAATCCATTATCCAACATGTTAAACAACACGCATTATGGCTACAATATCAGACATAAAAAAACAACATAGTTTCCACTGTTGTATTTCATGTACATGGATGACATAAAACTTTATTCATCCACACAAAAACAACTTCAGCAGCTGCTACAAATCACACATTCATACACCAAGGACATACAAATGGAGTTTGGCCTAGACAAATGCAAAACACTTCACATAGAAAAAGGAATCCTGAAGAAAGAAGATTTTGCACTTGGAAATGGAGACGTTATTGAATCCATGGAAGAGGGCAAGTTCTACAAGTATTTAGGATTCCAACAGACCAAACTAACAGAACATACACAAATAAAGCAAAGATTAATTAAAGAATACCAAAATAGGTTAAATGCCGCTATACTTAGAACACAGTTAAATGCAAAACACACAGTTAAAGCAATAAACACATATGTCATCCCAGTACTCACATACTCTTTTGGAGTTATACATTGGACTCACACAGATCTCGAGCAACTCCAAAGGAAAACTAGAACAACACTTACTAAGCATAAACAACATCATCCTAAATCCGCCACAGAAAGATTAACCCTTCCACGTAAAGATGGCGGACGTGGCCTGATTGACATAGTTAACCTTCACTACAAACAAATACAGTCACTGCGAGAGTTTTTCTACAAGAAACAAGAAACATCACAGTTACATAAAGCAGTAACTCTAGCAGACTCAAATAACACACCATTAAACTTACACTCACAACATACAGACATGACACAACATATAAAAAGCATAGACACCATCAAGCAATCGTGGGCTCGAAAGGCTCTCCATGGCAGGCATCCTTATGACCTGGCCCAGGATTTTGTTGACAAAACTGCATCAAACAGCTGGTTAGATCGAGGATGCCTCTTTGGGGAGACGGAAGGATTCATGATTGCCATACAGGATCAGGTCATAAATACTAAAAACTACAAAAAATACATAGTCAAAGATACAACACTCACAAATGACACATCAGAAAATGTCACATTATGCCTGAAACTATAGAACTCATCACTTCTGGGTGCAAGCTCTTGGCACAGATAGATTATCTACACACACATAATCAAGTAGCAAATATAATACACCAAGAGCTTGCAAAGAAGCAGAAATTATTAGACATCCATAAACCATACTACAAATACATTTCAATAGACAGTATTAGAAAACAACATGCACAAAATGTATTACAACAGAGCCATAATCACAGATAAAACAATTTATCATAATAGACCAGATGTCACACTCATTGACAAACACAATAAAATCACATACATTATAGACATAGCCATTCCAAACACTCACAATATACAAAACACATGCAATGAAAAAATTAGCAGGTACATAGAACTCACCCAGGAAATAAAGCATCTGTGGAGGATGGATAGGGTGCTTATTGTACCTGTCGTTCTCTCCTGTACAGGTGTGATATCACACATACTACACAATAGCCTGGGAACATTACAATTGAATAGAAATACATACATCACACTACAGAAGGCACACTATATTGAATACATGACACATTGTTAGAAAATTCCTGAATACAGACACTGTGACACACTTAATATTAGTTTTGGTTGCCATGCCTTGACTCAGGTCTGGCATAATACACAGCCATTGGTATCAAACGAGTATAACCCACTAAATACTGTATAATAATAATAATAATAAATTAATTCACAAGATATTTCTATTAAACATTAAATGTTTTTGGATTTATTAAATCTGTTATTAGTATTATATTATTTGAATTTAGTAGGTAAATCAGATAAATACAAAATTGCTTAGTATTTAAAAATATGATCTGAAAGAAATATTCTTTAATTTTATAAATTATTTCTTTGATAATTTTTTTAGATATAATGATATCAGTGTGCAAGTTAGAATGCGTTGTGTTCAGTATTCTATGCATTTTCTATTGAATCATCCTGAATTAAGCCAAGATATTACAGGTAAATTGTTTTGTGATTAGATTTTTAAATAATTAAGAGAAAATTGAATATTATAGTTTGTCTTTTGAATTTGAATTTAAAATGATTTAACAAAAAATTCTCATTGTAAAATGAAATTATGAATAACTAAAAAATTAGGCTTCAATTTGAAAAAATTGTAGACCTATAGATTTCCACAGTTGTCTGTCTGTTTGGTTTTTCTTAACATGTTAACTGCTTGTTGTAATATGATACTTTCCGTCAGGGGGGCCAAAAAATGAAAATTTGATATCTAATAATTGATTATAACGTAAATAAAAGGGTCGATGTACAACAGTCAGGAGAGCGACGATAAGAAAAATATATATAAACAAAGACCGTGGAGTCGTATGACCTTGAACCTGACACTGCTTTCTCCCAGGCAATAAATTTTACAACCCCACTGTAATTAGACGTTTTTCCCTACTTAAAAGTATTTACATCTGTGTGTTAAAGTATTTCACACTTTGTTTCGACTGCAAATGATGTTTTTTTTCTGTAAATATATATTAAAACGCACTTATATACTTTAATTTTTTTAAATAATATTATTTACTTTATATGCGATAAAAGAGGATAATTAAACTAATTTTCGATATTTTAAATTATTTACTATTAAAATAAACCACTATCAGATATAAAATAAAGTTTTATTTTTAAAAAAAACTACGACCGCCGACATTGTACCGCGTCACGACACCACACGACGTGCCGGCGGTCGTAGCTAGAACCGGTTTGCCATACGACCGCCAGCGTTTGAAGCCAACTGAATAGATGTCCACGAGAGGCCAGCATTAAGCATGCAGAAAACGTCATACGACGCCAGGAAAATTTAACCTTGAGTAAAACTACATTGTTTACGTCTACCGGCGGTCGTATGGCGCTGTACGGGAATTTCCATTACGATGGCGTGCGCGTCGTATGGCGTTAAACGAGTTAATTTCAAGAATGGAGTTAGATAGATGAAAGATGAGACCAGATATAAAAACCTTAGGGACAGGAGAATCCAATTATATATATATATATATGAACTTTTCCAATGCAAAAAGGAAGTTCCCTTGAAAAGTATTAGCTTAGATGATCAGCATGATTCTATTGTTAAAGTTAAAATATGTTGTACAGGGGCAAACCACTACTAATTTGAGGTTGAGAGCATATATTTTAAATTAAATAAATTGAAAATTGCAGCCTGGCATTGTGACGATGTCACAATAAATAACTACTAATTTAGATTTAGCTTAATTTTTCAAGTTGAAGTGTGAGTATTCTATTTTAAATTATATATCTTCATATTATATTTAGCTTAAGTTTTATTTTTACCTATCACTTTACTCTTTATCATATTTTCAGATCCAACTTTATTTAATGAAATAAATGTTATAAAATGGATTATTATCAGATTCGTTGCCTTATTTCTTATAATTTATAGTTTATAATAACAAGAAAGTATTCATATGCATCAGTTTGTTTTTACCAGATAAAATAAAATGTAGTTTAATTTTACTGCAAAGTTATAAATTCTAATAAAGTATTAATTCTCATAGTTATTTTAAAAAATCAAGACCTGTTACATGGATCTTATCATTTTCAATAACTGCCAAATTCAGAATAAGTTAATGAGATTTTTTCTTAAATGTTTGTTTTATTGTCTAAATAAAAATGCTGAAACTATATTTCTACATAATTTTAAGATTGTTTATTAACTTTTCATAGATTATGTACAGTTTAAATATTTTTAATTATATGAAGAAGTAAATAAATACAACATAAACTGAAGAAATACTTCTTTTTTTAAAATTAGTGAAAAATTTTTAAAATTAATAAAATTTTGATTCAAAGGCAATGTAAGGCTAAGTCAGTGGCATAAAGGTTTACTAATTCAGAATTTCAGTTTTCGAATTAAATAAATTTATGAACTGATAATGCCCATATATAATTAAATGTTGAATGAATTTTTAAAATAAAAAAGTGGACAAAAATTATAAAAAAATTTTTGTTAATGTAAAACAATTTTTGAATTTAGAAATTGTTTCTATCATGACTTTTCATGTGTGAATAGGTTTGAAACAAATTTTATTTATTAATTGCTCTTATGTAGATATATAATATAAAAGTATAGATGATAAATTTTGTTAATGTGTATAATTAATTTAATTGACTTTCTGACCTAGAACAATTACGACATAGGCAGCATGATCCAGAAGAAACAGTAAGATATGAAGTTGTTATGGCAATTATAAGTGCTGCGAAAAAAGATTTCAGTAGCATTTCTGAAGAATTGTTAAATTTTGTAAAAGAACGAACTTTAGATAAAAAGGTAAATTCGTGTTTTCATATAATTGTAAAATGATTATAGAACATGAAAAATAATTGAACTTAATGTTTGATGTGTAACATTGTGTAACATTTATTTAAATACTAAATCATATTTCAATTTTGTTTGTAAAGTACTATATTATTTTTACGCCTTTTACAACGATTAGCGACACGACTTTGTGCCAGAAATAGCCATTACCTAATGGATACTTTACGCGGAGTCGCGTTAATGTGCCAGGCCTGGACTTTAAGCATGCACCAAATTAAATAATGACAAACAAAAATGTTCTTACTCGTGCCTCTAACTGGTGTGTAGAAATACAAAAATAAATAACTTTGTAAAAACAAACGTTTTCCAAACACCTTCTGTGTCCTTCTTCAGGTAAAACGACTGGATTCCTTATTCTAAAACATCATCGCGCAATTTTTTAAAAGGAAAAATTCGAACGACGATGCGATTGCACGATATCCATTGCACATGCGTTGTATCTGTCATGTCCCTGGCTATATAGAATGGAAAGGACCCATCTGACCCAAGTAAATTGCCAGGCATATACCGAATACTGGTGAGAGATGAGAGATGAGAGATTTGGTAGGGATTTGATCTACATAGGATCAACGAAACGCGCAATAGGGACCAGGATTAAGGAACACAAAGCAGATATACAATACAACAGAGCCACCACATCACTCGCGATTTATGCGTCAGAACCAGGCATCAATGTAGACTTTGCAGGGACATCGTTAATAGTCAAAACAAAACACATGGAACACCTCAAATGGCTAGAAGCAATAGAAATATATAAGGCGCACACTACATCTACATGCATTAACTCCCGAGAAGAAATGGCTCTTTCGTTAGCTTGGCAAACCTTATTACATAATGATTACTAAAGATGTGGTTGGTGTAGGATGATGCACGAGGACATGTAAAGATCATAATAAAAATAGTGCATCAGACACGTAAAAGAAGAGTAAATGCGATGCTGAATGACAGGAACATGACAGATACAATGCATGCGCAGTGGATATCGCACAATCGAATTGTCGTTCAAATTTTTCCTTTTAAAAAATTGAGTGACGATGTTTTAGAATAAGGAATCCAGCCATTTTACATGAAGAAGAACACGGAAAGTGTTCGGAAAACGTTTGTTTTTACAAAGTTATTTATTTTTGTATTTCTACTCGCCGGTTAGAGGCACGAGTAAGTACATTTTTGTTTATTATACACCCCAGTGTGCACGAAGAAGTTATATAAATAATGACATAGTTAGTCAAAATCAAATTCAATATTTAACAATTCTAATAACGTCTATGTACAAAAATTTAGTAACAATTAACAACAAATTTATTCAAAGAAAAAATCAATAAGAATCAACCCGACAATACACAAATCAATCTATTTGCTAACTTAAATCTATTCCCCTTTGGAACTCCACAAAATTTCAGACTTAACTTATGTACAACAATTCTTATGAACTAAGGTCCTAATCGTTACCTCAGTATACTAGGAACTTTTTTCCTCAACACTCAAGACTTTCTCAAAACTTGGATCTACAAATTGAATAACTTCAAATTGCCTTGGAACCACTTATCGGTTGCTGCTCGAAGCTCACCTCAGTCATCATCACTTGAGGTTCAGATTTTATACTGTGAGGTGATGTCACAATTCTGAGTGAGATCACTCCCCTCATTTACATACTTATTGCTAACAGTCAACTTTTCCTTTCTGCCTGGCAACTTATTTCTTGACAATACTTGTTAACCTTTTACATTTTTACATTGTTCTTTTTTACAATTTTTCAGTATGTTTTATTCTTTAAGGTTTAACAAGTTTCTGAGTTGTGCTTGGGGGTGTCCCCCTCTTCTTGGTGCGGACTTACTTTTTTTTCACTCAGGAGCACAAGTGTGCGTGAGTTTTTTCTATGGCGCTTTTTCTTGTCGGTGAGTAGGTTCTCTTTCTTCTATTTTAAGTTTTTAAGGTGATTGGTGAGGAAACATTTGCCCTAACAAAACATAAGCCCCAAACAAAAATAGAATAAAAAACAAAATAAAAAAATAACTAAAAATAAAGCTCGGACTTGGTTCCTTACAAGCAGAAGTACTTCAAGGCATTTTAAGTGCAGAAATTTTCACAAAATATATATCATTTTTTCAAAGAGAAGAACCTCCTGTACAGCAAACTGTGAAATTACTTCTAAAGCTAGTTAGTAGAATTTTGAAAGTAGATATTTTGAAGCTTGTTTTTTTCATTCTAAGTCTGCTATGCCTGATAGTAATGTATTAAATCCAAAGAAATTATTTTACAAGACAAATCTTTTGACATTAGACAAAATTATTTGCAGTGCTGAGGTTGCCAATGAGTTGAGTAAATTATCTCAGAAAGATCAATTGCATTTTTGCAGTTGCTTACAGAAACACTATGTTGTGGCTTCCACATATATGATAGAAAATGCTCCAATTCAATGCAAACTGTTGAAATCATTGACATGTCTTCAGCTAAGTAATATTAGTGAAAAAAGCACTTATAAGGACATTGTAATTGTTGTAAGAGCTCTTCCATATTACATTGCTGAGGATACTTTGCAGGATGACTGGTGGCTACTTCAATTTGAGCGAGTTGACAGTGATTGGACAGACCCAACAGATGAGAGAATTGATTATTATTGGAGTCTGTATTTTAAATTGATTGACTCCCTTAGGAATGCAAGATATTCCAGTGTAATCAAATTGGTGAAATCAGCATTGACCTTCTCTCATGGCAATGCTGATGTAGAATGGAGATTTTCAATTTCTCGCTGGGCATTTCCTCCTGATAGAGCATCAATGTCAGAAAGAATGCTTAATTCACTTTTGATTGTTAAAGAGGGAATAAACATGTATGACCAAAGCTCACACTTTGTACTGTACCTATTACAAAGGATCTACTGAAATTAGCTGCCTCAGCACACAGAAATTATCAAGAACAATTGGAAAATGAAAAGAAGTTAAAAGAATAAGAGAAACAGAAAAAAAAGAACAGAAGAGGAAGCACAGAAACATTTTGAAGAACATCAAAAGAAAGCTGTTCATGACAAGGAAAAGATTATGGCACTGCAGCAGAGTTTAAAACAGGAAAAAGTATAAGAAAGTGAAATACATGAGACAGACCAAGTTTTGTTATAAGCAGCAAACAAAAAACTGGAGAAGGCCATTAACATCAAGAACATGAATGAAATATGGGCAGCACGTGTCATGCTTGTTACTGTTAAGTGTTCAAAAGCAAGAAAAGCAAAAAAAAAAAAAAAAGGAAGCTGAAAACATCCAGAAAAATCTTAATAAAAGAACATCATCTTTCATGACTGATTATTTACAGAAGAAGCCAAAGACTTATTAAGTATTCATTGTTTAATGGAAATATTACAGTATATACAGAAAGTTTTAAATTGTATTTAACCATAACAATAAAAAAACAGCTTTTACTGCTATTTTGCTGAGTTTTCCTTCCATGTTTTTGCTTTGTTTTGTCACTATTGCACTCACTTTTAACTCATTTTTTTCTGTACTTCAACTCACTTTTCTTACTTTTTCACAGGGAAAATGGCACTCTGAGGCCTGCATATTATTATTTATGAAAAATTAAAGCTAGTTGTTGAATTTTACTGAACTAATTGAAGTTTAATTTCAAATAAAAATTTATTTTTTTAATAAAAAGTAAAATACATCTGAATACGAGTCCAATTTTGCTTGCCATGTCCAATCACCAGGAACAACTATTTCCATTGCAGAGGCAACCTTTCTTTAGAGGCTATGCCTCTGCACAAATATGCAAAACAGTTTAAAATGTCCACAGGTGACAATCCCAACACAATTAAAAATATAATATTTTTTTGTAGAAAAAAGCTGGCAGAATTACAATTTAATAAAAAGTAAAATACATCTGGATACGATAAACTGTTTTGCATATTTGTGCCGAGGCATAGCCTCTAAAGAAAGGTTGTCTCTGCAATGGAAATAGTTGTTCCTGGTGATTGGACATGGCAAGCAAAATTGGACTTGTATCCAGATGTATTTTACTTTTTATTAAATTGTAATTCTGCCAGCCCCTTTCTACAAAAAAATTTATTTGATAGAGATAATAATAGCAAAAAAACTTAACTTAAAATGAAGTTTTAATTAATGAATGAATCTGCTTTTTGTGAGTACATTATAAATAATGTGTTTAACGTTATTACAGAGTCTAGTGAACACATTTATTTTTTTTATAATAAAATAGTAATAACAATAGATGTAAAATAAGAAAATTAACAAACTAAATAAACATGATTATGAAGCTTGCTTTATTAAATATTATTTTTAGACTTTTAAATAGAGTTTAAATTACTCTATATTTGTGAATATTATGAATTAATTCATTTATAATTATTTATGGATGTTTTTGATAAAAATAAATATTTTATGTTTAGAATTTTGCAATATAGTTGAAATGATTAACATTGATATCTTATTTCAGTTTAAAATTAGGAAAGAAGCACTTCTTGGATTAGCCATGCTGTATAAACAGAATATGAGTAATCCTGAATTACCAGAATCTACCTTAAATTGTATATCTTGGATAAAAAATAAAGTTCTCCATGGATATTATCAGTCTTCACTTGAAGATAGGTAATTATAAACTTAGAGTTTAGTGAAAGAATGATTTACTCAACTCTGAAACTGATATATATATATAAATTAATTGCAAAAGTATTTAAGGAAATCAGAACAGTTAATTAAAATTATTTTGGACATTTTTGATCATTTAGGAAATCATTTTTACTTATTTTCAAAAATTCTACTAAATTTAGATAAGAACATTTTTATTTATTCTTAAATTTATCGAAATAGTTCAATAAATGCAAATTTAAAAAAATGAACACAAGTAAAAAATGCTACAGTTCTTTTAAAACTATTTGAATATAATGTAAACTTGAGAATGACCATTGAAAACAGTCAAAAACATTTGTTAATTATTAAATTATTTTTGTTTATTGGATTTTTTGTTTATCTAATGTGTTTATTTTTACATAAGTAAAATTTAAAATGTATAGCTGCATATATAAACTAAATTGTATATTATTATAATATGTTAATTCATACAGTAAAGTGATAAAAAAAAATTATTCCACATTATGTTTGTTTCGTGATAACAACATGCCTGAAAACTAAGAATTCTCAAGAAATTTTATATTTGTATGAAAAATTCTTTTATTTTTCATGCAAATATAAGAAAATATAAAACTTTTAAGAAAACTTTTAAGAAAATTATTGAATTACAGTAGAGCGTCGATTTTCAGAATCAATTGGGGACTGGGGTTGTCTGGATAACTGATATTTCAGATAACTGATTTACATACGAAAAAATAGTTTAACGTATCCAATGTCGAAATTTTTCTCCATTGCGTGTCACTTTGCGTTGAATTTTCGTCGATGTTAAGCCTAACAAAGACTATTGTATCATTAAAAGTTATTTTTTTATTTTGTACAAACAAAATAAATATATTGAAAAATATAAAAATAATAAAAAATTATACTTCAGATGTTAATTTAGTATCAAAAACGTAACATATTTGAGTAGCCCAAGACATAGCCAAACATCGAAGCGCCACAGCACTGGCGAAAATTTAAATTTGCCGACTGGAATTCTTTTGGATGATTGCTTTCGGAAAATCAACGCTCTACTGTATAAAAATTTTATTTTATTCCTTTTTTCAACTAAATTTAATAGCTTATACTATATATTTCTAATTTAATATATTGTAGTACTTTATACTTAATTGGTTTTAATATTCTCATTATTTGCTGTCTCAATTTAAAGAATGATGTCTATTTTTACTTAAATTACCAGAAGAAACTAAATTAGTATGGGTATGAAATGTCCCAAGCACATGCATTATTTTAGTGTTTCTTAAATTTTATTTTTCAGCAATTCATCTAGAGTAAAATTCAGTTATTTCTATTATACATATATTTATTTTAAAACAATGTTTTTGTTTTAAAATTTTTTATTCCATGATTTAATGTGTTTTGTTTTTCTAAGAACTGAAGGGCCCTCACTAACACATTTGTAGATTCTCATCTGTGGTCTGTGGACTACAGGTTGAGAAACACTGCATTATCCAAATTATCTCAGGTACCCAATAACAAAAAACAGTATCTAGGTATGAAAATTTCTACAGTGTTTGTACTAATTGTTGCCCATTGTTTAATAAAAATATTTTTAATGAGTTTCGTGTAATGTTTTACATATATAATATAGATAAATTTGAATTAAAGTAGTTACATATTTTTCTTTTGATAAAATTTAGGTTATTGGTTGAACGAATACTATATACATGTTTAGTACCTTATCAGAGTAAAGATAGAATGAAAAAACTGTACCAGTTATTTGCTACAGTTGATGATAATGCTGTAAAGTAAGTGGTATTTTTTTTTTATAAATTATTTTTAAAATTCATTGAATAATGATAATTTGAAGAATATAAAGTCATATGTTTTAATGTTACAGTGCATTCAAAAAGTTTGAGAACTTTGTTGCTACAGATGAATAATTGGTGCTATCTCTGTGTCACTGCTAAAACTAATTAGTATGAATTGTCCCTCTAACTTTTCATTCAAATTTCACTGAATGGGACTCATTCTGTAATAAGCAGTGACAGTTTGAATTTATGTGTTTTCTTTCATTGTCAATTTTCTAGATGGAATAAAGAGCCGCAATCAAATTTTTTATTAAACAAGGTAAAAGTGCTACAAAAACATTTTTGATGATGCAAATTGCATATGGAAAAGATTGTTTAGGTTGTAGCAAAGTGTTCGAGTAGTATTCTAATTTAAAAACAGTCATGGCCAGAAAACTGAAAGAGAAAATGATGATTATAACATTTTTAAATTTAAGGGGCTTATCCACTGTGAATTTATGCCTCCTGGCCAGACTGAATGGACCTTTCCACTCAGGAGTACTTGATCACCACCTTTTGAAAGGAATTTGCGGTTAGATCAGAAATGTTCAAATTTGGAGAATGGTTTTTTCTCTGTGACAATGTTCTGGCACGTTTGTTGATCCTGTTTCACAATTTTTCACTAGAAAATCTGTTATGATTATCAATTTTCCACCTTACTTGCTGGATATTGCTCTGGGCAACTTTTATTGTTTTCCAAATTGAAAATAACACTGAAACTGTTTTAAAGATGTAGACACCATTCAAGTTGAATGTGATGGCTGTCTTAAATTTGATTTCACAGGAGTACTGTTTTGTGTGCCTTCCAGCAGTTGTACAAGCATTCTCAAATGTATTGATACATTGAGAGAGAAGGGATGTATGTTAAATAACAAAAAATAAAATTTCATTTTTTTTTTAAATTGTTTTTTTAAGTGTTAGACCTGGAGCTTTTTGAACACACTATGTATGAAACCGTGAAATTTAATGTAAAATATATTTTCATTATTTTTTCACTAACATTTAACTTGTTTATTTACAAATACTGCATATTAAAAATTTTTTACATACACTTCACTAACGGATAATATTTTTTATTGTAGTTTAATGTAATTAATTTAACATTTTTTACTATATTTGCTATATACAATTCATTATTTTATGAAATGATAAAATATCATGTATTATTGGCTATTTATTAAAAGTATACGAATGTTATGGCTATTAATGGTTTCCTTTCATTTAACTACAGTATATTCCTAAAAGAAAGATTATTTTGAATCAATTTAACAGAATAAAAATTCCTTATTTGAATATTTTATAACAGCTTAATATATTTAATTTACATTGTTTATGATAATATAATTAAACTCAATTATAACATCATAAAATGAATTGAATAATTTGTCATCATACATGAGAATAATGATATCATAACAGTGAAAAAAATATTTAAAGACGAAATACAGTGGAACCTCAGTATACGACCTTAATCCATTTCTGATGTTTGGACTTATACCGAATAGGACATATACCGAACCAACCTTTCCCATAAGATGTAATGTAAAAATGATTAATCCATTCTCGTGTAAAAAAAAAATGGCTGGCTTTAAACACCTTGCTTTCCTGGTTGGTTCCTGCTTGATTTTTCATGAGATCAGCATGTATCCTTTTAGCTTTCTCGCAAATAATCTCTTCCGATACACTGTCGCCAGCGCACTGTTTTTCAGTTATACAAAGCAAAAGCAATTTCTCAACACGATCTAATGTCTTCGATCTCTGTTTAGAAATTGATTTAACCTCTTTCGCAATGTTAGCAGATTTAATAATGTCTTTATTTTTCACGATTGTCCATATCGTAGTTCTCAGAATATGGAATGCAACAGTTAAATCTCGAACACACATGCCACCTTCATATTTCTCAACAATCTCTTTTTTCAGTTTCATTGTGATTCTAGTCATTTTTTTATTTTTCTGTTGCCTTTTTGCAATTCATGATTAATAAAAATAATAAAATGTTACTTACAAATTAAAATCAGAAGAAATTTAACAAAGTTATAAACTGTGGCACTGCGAACGTCTAGTCTGGTCTAGTACATCGATAGTGCTACTTGTTCATAGATGGCACGTATAATTGAATTAAGTCATATACCGAGCAAAATTTGTTTTGTCGAAACAGGACGTATTCCAAATTTGACATATTCTAAAGCAGATGTATACCAAGGTACTACTGTACTGTACATGCTTTTTGGCATATTACTTAATCTTTGATGATCTTTGGAATTTATTGTAAATCTAAAATAAAACAGAATAATTTTTGATATTTTTTAATTATAATTGTAAATTTCCAAGTGTTAAGAAAATTCTACTTTTAATACCTATGTGAATAGCTTGTAGATATTTATGATATTCATTCAATAGCCAATAATAATGCATCTCAATATGTAACTGGTTCAAACACCATAGTTTTCTAGGAATTATCACATCCACAGACTCCTTGATTACTAGTCAATCGACAACTTTATTTTACCCAGATGCATTTTGGAAATTACAATGTTTCCCTTCTCAGTGGATTTTCTTCCATACAAGCTAAACAACTTTTGAACAGAAACTATTTTTTGATACACTTCGCAATTTTTTAATATTCCAACCATTTTGACTACTAACATATTAAAATAATTTTTACCTGTGTTCATTAACAATACTTTGTAATGCACAGTCCTTTTCATTATTGCTTTCATTCATTGTCTTGAAGACACAGTGTATGGATGTGATATTTCTAGAAAATTAAGGTGTTTCAACTGGTTACATATTGAGATTAAAGAAATGGAATAGAAGCATTATTATTGATTTAAACAATCAATAATAATGTAGTTTGAGATTTTTATCCTTTATCAGCTGTTAAATGCTGATTTTTTAAAATGCTTTTTATGTCCACAGTTTTCAGACTTATGAAGTTTGTCATCATACATTATTGTTAGAAATATATTTTTTTTTATTAAAAACAAATTAGAAAGAAAAAGAGAAACTTTCAAAACTACTTGGTTCTTGGCAATTACATTTCAAGCAAATTATTGGCAATGGTTATAAATGAAATAGATACTTATGTCTTGTTATTCAAGGCAGAAGACATAAATTTCTTTGATTGCTATTCATTCAGCAGATTTAAAGTTTATCAGTATTTGGACTTTAAGATGTGTATTATTCATTATAAATTATTTAATTGTATTAATAAAATTACTATGATATTATAGTCAGTTTGATTTCAGAAATACAGTGGAACCTCGGTATACGTCTGCTTCAGAATACGTCCTGTTTGGACGAAACAAATTTTGCTTGGTATACGACTTAATTCAATTATAAGCGCCATCTATGAACAAGTAGCACTATCGGTGTACTAGACCTGACTAGACGTTCACGGTGCAACGGTTTATAACTTTGTTAAATTTCTTTTGATTTTAATTTGTAAGTAACATTTTATTATTTTTATTAATCATGAATTGCAAAAAGGCAACAGAAAAATAAAAAAAATGACTAGAATCACAATGAAACTGAAAAAAGAGATTGTTGAGAAATATGAAGGTGGCATGTGTGTTCGAGATTTAACTGTTGCATTCCATATTCTGAGAACTACGATATGGACAATCGTGAAAAATAAAGACATTATTAAATCTGCTAACATTGCGAAAGAGGTTAAATCAATTTCTAAACAGAGATCGAAGACATTAGATCGTGTTGAGAAATTGCTTTTGCTTTGTATAACTGAAAAACAGTGCGCTGGCGACAGTGTATCGGAAGAGATTATTTGCGAGAAAGCTAAAAGGATACATGCTGATCTCATGAAAAATCAAGCAGGAACCAACCAGGAAAGCAAGGTGTTTAAAGCCAGCCATTTTTTTTTTACACGAGAATGGATTAATCATTTTTACATTACATCTTATGGGAAAGGTTGGTTCGGTATATGTCCTATTCGGTATAAGTCCAAACATCAGAAATGGATTAAGGTCGTATACCAAGGTTCCACTGTATAATTTTACATGTTATATAACTTTTGAAATACATTGATGACTTGATATGAAAAAAGCTATGAAATGTGTGATATTAAAATCTCAGATAGCAAAGAATCAAATTAATTATTAGAGATATAAATATTTCCTGGATATAGTTTATACTGAATATTTACTGGTAAATTATTATTTTTAAAGTATTAAATTTTTTATTTAAAAATAATTGGTAAAATATTAATTCTCTCTTATAGTATATTTTTCTTCATTGAGCATGTTTATTTATTATTTGTAGGGCTTTTAACGAATTGCTCAAATGTCAAAATATGTAAGTATATATTAAATATTATTATATAAAATTATATATTAAGATATTAGTTTTTAAATTCAATTCACATTTTTTATTAAATCTCTGCAGAAATAAAATACAATTATATCTAAACTTACTGATGAGCCTGTTAGGTTTAAAACATTTGGAACTGTTCATGTTATTTCTATATGTAATATTTAAAAAAAGAAAAAAGAATACAAATTAAAAGTATTATTGTAATAATAATTCCATATTATAAAGAATTTATGGTTGTACAGGGGTCATTCTGGAAAATTTAAAAATATCATCAATCATTCACCAGTTTTTAATTTTTTTGCCACTTCAAGTTATTTATTACCACCAGTTTTACTTACTAATTAATGCAGGTGCTTGTAGTCTTATTAGTTTAGCATCTGTAAAGCAAAAGTAACATGTTAAACTGTTACTTACAAGGAGAGGATCAGACAGTTGGATCAGTGATTCAAACAAAACCTGGTGAGCATGTAGTCTTAAACACAGACAACTTTTTATCCAAATAATATTAATAGAACCCACTTGTCAAGCATTTCCCAAAAACAGGCCTCTGAAAATTTAGTGTTTAGCTTATAAGTCTATGAAAGTTTAATGTCACCAAGTGGATAAGACACTAGGCACTGGAGCTAGATGATTTAGATTCAAATTTTAGTTTAAATTTTAGTTGGTTAGTTAGTTACTCGGAAATTTTAGTTTAGTTAATTTTTTCTTATGTGTAACATAATTATTTTATGACATCATTAGCATTATTATTCCTCATGTTTAAAAAGAGGAATAAATAAAGAAAGCGTTATTCCTCACACTTTATTTATTCCTGTCATAAAAACAAATTAAAAATTTGATGTTATTTCCTGTTTAGCAAAAACAAGTCTGTAGATTAACTCTTTTTATGTTGTTAAATAAAATTTTATTTCTTTTTATTTATTTTAAGTCATGGTGGTATTGTGATATTTGAAGTGTACAAACATAATCACATGAGGAAATTGTCCATAATATTAACAATAAAAAATAAAATAAAATGCTGTGACTATGCTACCCTGTTTTCATATCACTTGTCTTTTTCATCCATGTGCAATAACACCTGAAACTTATTCACTTGTGAGGACATAGTATATAAAATATATGAAAATAAATGTGAAGAAATAAAAGTTTTATTTAACAATGTAAAAGAGTTAAATCTACAGAAACTTGTTTTTGCTAAACAGGAAATGATGTCACAATTTTCAATTTCTTGTTTTATAATCATTAAACATGAGGAATTATAATAGTAATAATAATGCTAATGTTGCATTAAAATAATAATGTTACATGTAAATAAACTAAACTAAAATTCTGAATGTTTGAACCTACATGTCTAGCTTCAGTGCCTAGCATCTTATCCACTATGCTTTAGCTGCAAGAGATGTGAGATGTAAGACTTGTAAGACTAAATTTTCAGAGGCCCATTTTTGGGAAACGCTTGAGAAGTGGGTCCTGTTATTTGGACAAGAAGCTGTTCGTGTTTAAGACTGTGCTCACCAAGTTTAGTTTGAACCAGAGATCCAAATGTCTGCCTTCTCCTTGTTAGCAATAGGAATCATTTTTTAATAATTTTTTTAATGAATAATTCTGAATAACACATTTTATCACAATGTTTAAACAGTATTTTACAGGTTCTGTCATGTCAAAATTTTTGTTTTAGTCAACTGAAAAATAGTCACTTCAAAAAATTCCCCAAATTTTCTGTTGGTTGATAAAAAAAATCCCTAATGTGGAAATGGGTAGCATTGTACAAAACTGCCTTCAGTTCTCAACATTATTTCCTACTTTTCTGCCTGAACATAATGCATGATGTTACGAAATTGCTAGGTGTGTGATTCACTGGACTCCCATCACAGGAGAGCTAAATATTTTACTGTTCTTCCTGAAGTGTGATTTGTGATTCAGTTTCATGCTGAATGTCAAAACAAGTGGATTAGGATTTTTATTGTCACTTGCTATCACCAGTATTATCTTTTTATCATCACTTTAATAAAAATATTGCCAAGTGGTGATTTGGATGCTATACAGTATGACCCCTGTTTGTTTATTTAAAAAAATCTTGTAAAATCAATTCAGTGACTAATATTATGTTAGTTTTGTAGTTTATTTTCTCTTAAAAGTGTTTTGTTAACTATTAAACTAATTTTTCAGTTTATTTTATTTTATTTATTCAATTAATTACAAGATAAAATTGTGTTTTCCATTATGAAAGAAATAAGATTTATAATACTTATTGCATAATGTAAAAATTACATTAAAATTGTAATTTATTTCTTAATTCATATTTGTAGTATAAAATTTTTTAATTTGTAAGTATATTTTATAATTTAAATATAAAGTAAAAATTTATATAAAATGTGGCTATTAAATAACAGGATTGATGCAATTACAATAGTGTTCTCTCATTAATGCAAAGTATTTTGCACTGATTTTTGTTTATGCCAGGAATGCATTGCTTATTTAAAATGAGGGGAGCCTGTGCTATATTTCCTTGATTCTAAGATACACTTTTTTTTATTTTCTTTTACTTGTTCAAAATGGAGATGTGACATCTTTCCCACATAAGACGAACCATAACTATGTACTCATTTTCAGCAATTGGAAAGCTTCAGTTCAATTGTTCAGTTTTATATGAAACTTAAGATTGACGCATTGCTTATTTTGAACCCAACCTAATTCTAGAAACTTGACAACATGTCCATTTTTAAAATGCTTGTGTACACTGAAGATGTGAACTGATATTTGTCAGAATTTGAGTTTAGGCTTCAAAGTTAGAGAATCCTCCTCATTCATTTGGCAAGGAACCATTTATGGCATTGTAAATCAATTCAATTATTTAATAGCCAACCATAAGTTGTATATTTATTATTCCATACTAGGTGCCAATCAATTTGGATCTCATTATTTGATAAATAATTTTGTTTAATGAATGTGTTTTTCATTTTATTATATTGATCTTTTAGTTTATTGTAATTATAACAATGTAATTAGGACATATGATATCCTTATTTAAAAAATGACATTTTGTATTAAAAAAAAATCATCAAAACAAATTTTGATTAATATTTTCATTTATATGTTTAAAAATGTGATACATGTGACAAATGCACAAAACAAAACAAAATCTTAAATGTAAAATAAATGAAATAATTCTTTTGTTTATTATCTGTTTTTGGATTGAACAGAAAGTTTTTGCATCTTTTGAGAAAAAGTCCAGATTATTTTTTCAAAATGAAATATACTCATTTAGTCGACAATGTAATTTCCAACATTTGCAATTATCTTCCAGCTGTCCAGAAGTTTATTACAGTAGAGCCTCGATTATCCGACCCAATTGGGGACTGGGGTTGGTCGGATAACCGAAAAGTATGAAAAAATCCATTATTAGTGTAGTATATTATTATATCCCATGTAATTAGTATATTAGTATAGCGCTATTAACCTACTTTGCGTTGAATTTTCATCGATGTTAAGCCTAACAAAAAATTTTAAAAATAATAATCGTCACTATTGTATCGTTAAAAATTAGAAAATTAAGCCTCGTTTAAATACTGGCTCCCTTTCATGGTCAAATGAGTGTTGCCAGCTAAAACACGTAAAAATAATATTAAAATAGCCGAGACATAGCCAAATATTGTAGCGCCACATCACTAGCGGACATTTGACATTTGCCGACTAAGACGGTCGGTTAACCGAGGTGGCGGTTAATCGGGGGTCGGATAATCGAGGCTTTACTGTAATCCAATTGGCTTAAAAATTTTTTGATCCAAAAAAAAAAAAATGATTGTACATTATATTTCAGTTGTTTGAAACTTTTAAATTATTTATTGAAATGATTGAGAAATGAAAATCAAAGAACATTTAACCTATCCAATGTTGAAATTCTTCTCTGTTGTCTGTGACATCATGTTGAATTTTCATTGATGTTAAGCCTAATGAAGTTTTTTTTTTTAAATAATAATTGGGTTTACTGTGTCATTAAAAATTACTTTTTTATGTTGCACAAACAAAATAAATATATTGAAAAATATGAGAACAAAAAAATTACATTTCAAAAGTTTGTTTTAATATAAAAATTATGACGCATAGCGACATCTAGTATCAAAACATTCCAATGCAGACATGAAAATATTCAGGGTCGCCCACACAGGTCAATGAGGTCAACATGGAAATTTTTGGGAACAATACAGGACAGGTTAAATTAGATAAATAGAGTGCATCATTTAAAACTTCCTAATTCAACTTTTTCATTTTCTATTGTGTTATCAAACTGATATGAGGGTATACATTATTTTATTAAAAGAATTCCTTTCTAGTTGACCAGATTTGGGTATTTCTGTTTTAGACATTGAAATTTGAGCTTTTAGAGACTAATAAAACCATATAACAAATTATATATTATGTATTCCATCGTATACAAAGCAGTAATTTTTGGAGTTGACTGTCAACATTCGAACAACATTGTTATAAAACATTATTTTTATTGTTTATATGACAGTACTATTATTTGAAATTCATAAAGTACACTATGTATCTTATTTGTTGACATTTGTTCTTGATTTTTTTTCTGAACAAAATATTTAATGATACTATGCTGAAATTTTCTTCTAATATTTATTTTATCACATGTGTTAAACATCATGATAGCTTTAACTAAATCACAGTTCTGATTTATGTGATAACATTTGCTAAAAATGCAAAAACTTCCCATTCAGCCCAATATAACATAAATTTCTTATCATTTTATATGGAAATTAATTAGAAAAGTTTTTTTATTTAGTGTACGTAACCAACTTTGCAATATTATAGAAACACTTAGACAACCTAAAAGTGATGAGAGAGAAAAAAATTTGTGTGGAAAAATTGTCATAATTTCAAGTAAGTTATTTACCATCATTATTTTTGATATCATGTTTAAATATTGCAAGATTCTCTTGCAGTAGAATTTTATCATTAAAATCTTAAGTATTTAAAGTAAAAAGAAAAAATTAAATTTTGACATTAGAGAGTTTGTAAATGTTAACTGTATAAATTAAATGAATACATTTTTTTTTTAATTACAAAAATTTGTATTTATTTGTTCAATAAATTTTTTTCTGATATCACTTAGTAATAGATGCAGTGAAATGATTATTTTCAGAATGACAATTATCATTTAATTTTGTATAGAATAACATTGGAAATTTTTTACTTCTGAAAATGATAATGAAATAAGATTTTGTCTGTGATTTTATTATTGTTTGCAAAGCTTAGTCACTGGAGTTTTAACCATGCATGATTATTGTTTGTTGAAATTTATTTTGATTGATAAAAGATTTCAAAATAAAAATTTATTCATCGTATAAGGCTTTTGCCTGTTACAAGGACGTAATTTATTTATACAGCATATTCATCCGCCATCATTTGATTTTTTTTCATATAGATAATTAACATTAGTTATCTAATATGTAGTACATACATTTATTAATTTACTCTACGTTTTTATTCACAAGTTGCTTCGTACAGTTATATAACTTAAAGATAGTATTGATGTTTGCTTTGTCAAGGAACTTATACATTTCCGTTTCATTGGAGCAGTTAAGTAATCGACCAATATCAGAATTTTGAATGTTCTCATTTCCGTTGCAATTTTCACAAAGAATATGAAAGTTTGATGTCTTACTGCAACTTGGGCATTTGGTCTGAGAGTAGTCTAGAAATTTATCATTTATAATTATCCAGTTTTTGTTTAGTCTTAACTGTATAAAAAAATTTTTTACATTAAATGCAAGATTTGTCAGGATATAACTATTATTTGATGGGTAATTTAAAATTATTTTATACCAACTTGTATTATTTTGTTTCTGTATGTCATTGATATCTTGGACAATAGAGATTTCCATTACNTTAACTGTATAAAAAAATTTTTTACATTAAATGCAAGATTTGTCAGGATATAACTATTATTTGATGGGTAATTTAAAATTATTTTATACCAACTTGTATTATTTTGTTTCTGTATGTCATTGATATCTTGGACAATAGAGATTTCCATTACTCTTTGTATTAATAAATTATTTTGCTGTTCACTGATGTATGATTGATCCATAAATAGTGTCATTGAAAATCTGTATGTGTTAAATATCTTCGATAGTTGTACCATCCAATTTCGTTTTAAATCTGTGATCTTTGATTTTTGATATAATACATTCAGTAATTTTGTTGTTAAATCTTCAGCATTTATAATTTTTTGTAGAAATTTTATATACCTTTTTATTAATATGGTGTTTAATTTATATCTACTTAGTTCCATTCTTAGAGCACTGCCAGGAATATTGTATTCTAATTGGAAAATTCTACGAATAAAAGTATTTTGTATTTTTTCAAAATCATTGAATTTACCTGTAGACCAGATTGGAGATGCGTAACACATTGAGTTAATGATAATTGAATTAAAGAGTTGAAAATGAATTCCCAAATTCTTAATTTTAGCTTTACAGAATAACACTATCAGATTATTTATTAAATTTTTTGCCTTTGATTTCCTTTTGCGAAATCCATTAATTGTTGCCCAGAAAACTCTGGTATCTCTTGATTCTGTTAATTTCTTGTTAATATTTGAAAAATACTTCTTCTTTTTTGTTTTAATTAAATTTATATATGTTTTTTTATTTTGTATTTCATTAAGAATTCTTTTTTATTAGTTTTTCTAAAGACTTTTAAAGTCTTTTGTTTTTTAATATTTTTAATATAACATGAATTGTCGTACCATTCACACTTATATGTTTGCTTGTAGGGACTTAAACATTTCCCAAATCTGTATTCTTCTAGTTTTGTTGTAAGTCTCAGGTAATTTGTTATTGGCTTATTATCTTCCTCTAAGATTAACATTTCATCAATTATATTTTGGAACTCTTTTAACAATTTCCGTTTATTGTAAGAAGGTTTATAGTCAATGCTTAATGTATGGAGTTGTTTTTTTATCATTTTTTCTCTTCTTATACCTTTGTAGTATTTCAACACTAGTTGAATCGGAAAGTGATCCGATAAGTTGTCCTCCAGAACTGACAGAGACTTACAGTAATCCAACATAAATTCAGAACAAATAACATAGTCTATCGTCGATTTTCTTTTTGGGGAGACAAAAGTAAATTCCGCCGGAATATCTCCCTTTAATGTACCGTTCAAAATTATTAATTGATTATCTTGTACAAAGTCTAGGAGTGTTTTACCATCAGTGTTTAGCAGTTTATCCTTGGATGTTCTTCTGTTACTAATATTATCAAAATTCTGAGCAAATTCAGTATCAGTATTCTCGCCAATGCGAGCATTAAAATCTCCTCCAATTAGCCATAGCTGGACTAAAAAGGACCATCTTTCTATAAAATTTTGAACTTCACGTAAAACAATTCTCTTCTCAATTGACGGTGGGAGGTACAGTACATTACTATTAGCCCCAAATAAGAGTAATTCCATCTTATTTTAATATTACTATCCACATTGATTATTGCAGCAATAAAGTACTCTGAAATATATTGATAAAGTATGTCCCCCAAACTCTTCTTAATCAGCATCAAGATTCCTCGTAAAGGACAATCGAATTTACTATTACGTTTAGCGTCACTAGTTATAATACTATGTTTTTGTGTGAGAATATTTTTTTCTGCAGCACTGAAATTTAACATCCATGTTTCTGTGATTCCAATTATGTCGTTTCAATCTAAGAACTCTCTCACCGAATTTTTATGTAACTTTCCTCTCAAACCTTGGACATTCCAAAAACTTGCTAACAGCTCATATCTATTGTTATCTGACAGTCTCATTTCATTATCTTTGATTATTCCGTTTACAACTACTAAGTTAACTTCACCATTATTATTGAGTTTCTTTTCAACTGTTACATCCAAGATCTTCGCCCTTGAAGGTACAACTTTTATTTCATTGTCATCATTTCCTTTACCTGGAAAAACCTCTACAGATTCAGCTAACCAAATAAATAAATGATAATATGTACATATGCATGTCTTTTTATGAATAAATTTGAAGTTTGTTTCATAATTTTTATAATTTTACAACGATCCTATATTCCTGGTGAAAGCTCCTCGCTTAGTGACCAATTCGCTTAACGATGTAGTTGTAGGAACGGAACTCGGGCGTAAAGTGAGGAGTACCTGTATTATAATTAACTTTTTGTATAATTGTTTCATTTCAGTATTATCAATTTGCAATAAGATTAGAATATAATTACAGTAGAGTGTCGATTTTCCGAATCAATTGGGGACTGGGGTTGTCCGGATAACTGATTTACATACGAAAAAATAGTTTAACATATCCGATGTCAAAATTTTTCTCCGTTGCGTGTCGCTTTGCGTTGAATTTTCGTCGATGTTAAGCCTAACAAAGACTATTGTATCGTTAAAAATTATTTTTTTATTTTGTACAAACAAAATAAATATATTGAAAAATATAAAAATAATAAAAAATTATACTTCAGATGTTAATTTAGTATCAAAAACGTAAAATATTTGAGTAGCCCAAGACATAGCCAAAGTTTGAAGCGCTACAGCACTGACGAAAATTTAAATTTGCCGACTGGAATTCTTTCGGATGATTGACTTTCGGAAAATCGACGCTCTACTGTAGTTGCTTTTTGTATAAATTTTATTGAACCACTGTTTTTTTCTTAATATTAGACAAAGTCCTCCATGCAGTCTTTCAGGTCCTATTGGTTTTTGTGTGTCAGAAGATATAATTGTATATTCCATTCTATTTTTTATAATTTCATTAACTGGTGTGACTAGTCAGGTTTCAGTTATACCCAAGATATCATTATATAATACTGATATCTTGGGTATAACCAGGGCTGTGGAGTCGCGTAAAAATCTACCAACTCCAACTTTTCCTTACCAATCCGACTCCGGCTAAAACACTAAAACTCCATGACTCCAACTCCGATTAGTTTTTTTCTTCTTTTGCGAGAATCTTTATTTAAATCAGCTGACATCTTGCCAATTTCCCCAGTGTCTTGTTATATTTCAATTTATTAAAGGCTGCAAGAATTCTATTTCTTAATTGATTTGATTTTAATACTGTGCACTTAATTTGAATATTTGAATTAGGTATTGAGTAGATATTTTCTATATCTTCTGATTTGCTGCAAACTATTTTTAAAGTATCAGAAAAAAATTTATATGTTTCATGTCATGGATGACAGAGCTAATTAAATTAGTTTTCTTTTTCTTTTTTATTGGTAAATCTTTGATGCTTTTGTCTATACTTGCTATTAAATCCATAGTAATCTTATCAATAGGTATATTAAAATCTGTTCCTAACATTAGGAACTGTTTTATGTACTTAGGGTTTTGTATGTTAGTTTTATTAACAATTAAATTGTTTATCCATATATTCTTCACTTTAGGAATTGGATACTTAAATAGCTTATGTAACTTAAGGTCTTTTTTATATTTGTATCCATTGCAATTCCTTTGTATGGGTTTTCTTTGTAATTATATCAATGTAATAATTTCCTTAGTTGGTATTTTAAATTATTCCATTTTTTGATTTTACTCCTAATTACAAATTTTATTATTTTTCTTTCTATTTTCCAAATCATATGTTTGGGAATTATATTTTGTATTGTTCTTTTTAACTTTAAAGTATTTGATGCATGTTCTTCTCTTAAAAAACATCTGAAGTAGTTTATATCATGTTCTAACATTTTTACTTTCTTTGTAAGGGTTACTAACCTGTTTTTCTTATCCATTGTATTTCCAATAATATGTTGAATTTACTAATTGTAGCTGTATTATTTGTTCAGTGAATGGTCTCTTTAATCTGAAATAATTTCTTCAGTAGACTATCTTACAGCAAGTCATGTTAAGAAACTCCTTTATTGTACTTTCACATATGCATTTCGGGCTAGTTTTATTTTTCTAGTCCCTCTTCAGTGCTATAGGAAGTACACATTATAGACATTGAGTTGACAAATATAATAATATGAGTAGAAATGTCAAGTAACACAAGGAAACACTTTTTACAATACCTCTAAGAACTTCATCCACTTTTTCTCCCAAGCTAAATTGTTACACTCATATGGTACTTTTATTTACAATATTAAAATATTTTTGTAGGTGTAAAAAAAGTTTTTATATTGCTTATTTGTTATTGAGTTTTATGATTATATTATTATTTATAGCGACATTGTTTCATTGTATTGTATTTTACGCCCACAAAGATATTTTAATATTGTAAATAGAAGTATCATATGAGTGTAACAATTTAGCTCGGGAGAAAAAGTGGATGAAGTTCTTAGAGGTATTGTAAAATGTGTTTCCTTGTGTTACTTGACATTTCTACTCATATTATTATATTTGTCAACTCAATGTCTATAATGTGTACTTCCTGTAGCACTGAAGAGGGATTAGAAAAATAAAACTAGCCTGAAATGCATATGTGAAAATACAATAAAGAAATTTCTTAACCTGACTTGCTGTAAGATAGTCTACTGAAGGAATTATTTTGGATTAAAGAGACAACCATTCACTGAACGAATAATACATCTACAATTAGTAAATTCAACACATTATAAATAAATTTTAAATTTAATGTCTATTAATAAAATCAGTAGTTACACTAATTGTAGACTTCTTTAATTACCCTGCTCAGTGTTATCAGTTGGTTATCACCATCATTAGTAGAGATGAGTTCTCATAGTGATTACATTAAGAAAATGTGTGTGTGTGTGTAAATTCAAATGAAATTTTTAATTATAATTTATCCAATTGCAGTTGGACTTTAATTTATTGTTTTTAGCTGGCTCTTTGGTTCTTTTATTACTAATTTAAGGTATTTTAAATTGTAAAATAATAACTGATAAAATAAACTTTATTTTGTTTTAGAAAATCTATCAGAACCAATTAAGTCTCAAGAATATATAAGAAAATTTTGCACTCTTGTTGAAAGCAATCAACAGTTACATACTCATGTTAATGTAATATTAAAAGGAAGTGCTGCCTGCTCTGAAGTGGAACACAGTGTAGTAAGTTTTATTCCTTCTGTACTATAATTATATACAAAAAAATTATAAGTATATTTAATAACATAGGAAAACTATATAATTTTGATATTTGTGTATACTGTTTTAATTGTGAGTTTGTTATAATAAGAAAAGTTTTCATTAATATGGATGTTAGTTGTCTCATGTATGTAGATTATTAACTTTAAAATCTTGATGTTTTTGAATCTCACACCTCTAGATTTATTTAAAAGACTAACATTTTTAACTTTGTAATTAGTTTTAAGAATCATAAACAGAATTCTAAATATTACATTCAAGACCATATAACATTTAAAAATAAATACATCAAATATTTGAAATTAAAAAGTAATTAATATAAGAAATATTTTATTATATATTATATTTGTTATATTAGTATTTTAGTTTAACTATATGCAAAAAGCATATAGTTAAACTAAAATATAATAATAATCGAAAATTTATAAAAATTATCTAAATATTTATTATTCCAAATTGATATTACAAAATATATTGTATCTATTTTTTCTCTTACTACAATAGCAAGGAAAGTGGATACATGATCATAATCTCACATGCTTACAGTTTATTATATAACATTTGATGTTCTCATGTAGCAAAATTTAAGTTTAAGGTAGAAAAGTATATTAATTTTATTTTTGATTTGTTTGTATTCCTAATTATAGAAAGGTGACATGGTTAATATTTGTTATATAAAGTGAAATTTTTTAATTTTCAGATTCATAATGACTTAGTCCACAAAAGCACATTATGCAAACAAAATAGGAAGGAAATAGCTGATCTTTGCAAACATTAATAAAAATAAAAATTGTTTTTTGGTCAGCATTGTGTTGAAACACATTAAACAGTTTAGGACTACTTTTTATTGATGTTATAATTGATAGTTTTTCATTTTAAAATATAATATAGACATAAATAATAATAAAACTATTCTTGGCTTAGTTTTTATATACCTTTTTCATTGTATTAAAAAGATTTAATACAAGGTTTGTCTGAAAAGTTTTTGAACTTAATGTTGACAGTGTGAAGAGACGGGGGATTGTTCATTGATGTTGGATCATGAAAAATCCAGCATTCTATCTTCATGAGGATGGAATTTGCAATCATGACACCATTTATGCAGAAGCGAAAAATGCACACAAACATCTATACTCTGCAAGCATTAGTTCTAAATTATTCCGCTGTGGCAAACAGTGCCAATAATCGGAAGCTTGATTTGTGGTAGTTTTTGGTCATATTTGCAAATTATGATTGCTTTATTCATAATTACAATTAGTTAATAATGAACATAAGTTATTGTTCTTTAAACAAAAGAAAACATTCTCAAACTAAATTATGACATTAAATGAAACAAAACCCATAAACATAAAATAACATTTGGACTTGACTCCTTACAAATAATGTATATCATCATGGCCAACTAATTTTATTTCAGTCACTGTTTAGTCACTTTTTTTTTTTGCTTGGAGGGACTATTCTCACTTATTTTGAAATCATTTTCTGTTCCTCAATTTAACAGACTAATTGGGGGAAGGAGTATCTGCTATTGCCAAAAGTTTATTAAATTGAATGTGTTTTAAAAGCACTTATTAATAACAGATTTAAATTGTGGAAGATGTGTTAAAATGTTATTATAGTGTATAAGTGTGAATAAAATACAGTCGACCCCCTATAACATTGTTGATAATTCTGTTTTATATGAATTTCACATTGTACGAGTCACTTAGATTTTACAAATACTTGAGACATTCACAGCCAGGCACACATATTTGTAAAATCTAAGTGACTCGTACAACATGGAATTCATATAAAATGGAATTATCAACAGTGTTATAGGGGAGTCGACTGTAATAACATAATGTACATTGAGTAATTTAGAGTCAACTCATTCATCCAACCTTTTATCATGCTCTAATTTTTTTTTTTGTCAATAAAAAAGATTTAAAATTAAATTTAGAGTTTACTATATATATATATATAGTAAACTCTAAATTTAATTTTAAATCTTTTTTATTGACAAAAAAAAAATTAGAGCATGATAAAAGGTTGGATGAATGAGTTGACTCTAAATTACTCAATGTACATTATGTTATTACAGTCGACTCCCCTATAACACTGTTGATAATTCCATTTTANTATATATATATATATATGTAGTAAACTCTAAATTTAACAGACTTATATATAGTAAACTCTAAATGTAACAGACTTCAGATTTAATGGACAAATATATATATTTTATTTCTGTTTAATAATTATTTTATTTTGTTTTTATTATACTAAGCTTTATTTAATCTTAGAATAGTAATTAAATTTATACAACAATTCTTCTGTACATTTATAAAAAGTTTCATAATTTTTTTTATATTTTAAGTAATTAAAACTTTAAACATTTTTTGTAGAAAGAGATTTTAAAAGCAGTTGGCCCTCCAGTACAAATGAATAGTTTTTATATGACAATAAAACAACTTCTAGAACGTGTGGCTCCTGTTATGATTGATCATAGTGGAATAAAACAGTTAATTTTTTATGTAAAGAATTCACTTCTCAACAATGGAGAAATTGATAAAGAACTTGGACTTTACAATTCTGCACATAGAGGCCTTCAACTCTTACATGTAAGTAAAAATTATTTTAAATTTTTATTCTCAATATAAAATTTTATTAAATAATTAAAATAATTATATTGTGAATAAAGTTAATTACAGTCGACCCCCCCTATAAGATAGAGATACGTTCCATTCTCTAGGAATCCGCTTTCTTATGAATCCTTCCAATCACAACCCGACACGTATCAAGTTTACAGACTATGGCTGTTTGAAAGATTTTCTTCCATAAAATTAATCGATTCTAGACTAATCCGACTCAACATTTCCAAAACACGTATATATTTTTTGGGAATAATCCGTATAAACTACGCTATAAATAAAAAATTGTAGGATTACTTACCGAGTGTCACCATTCGATATCGCCATTGCTCAACATTGTTTTCGTCGCGGAACAGCTCACCAAACCGCGGCCGATTTCTAATAACTTATTTTTCTGCTAATAGCTCCTTGAACTTCGGAGACATCATTAATATAAATAATTTTAATCGCCGTTGAATAAGAAATGTTTCTTTCACAAGAAATGTATAAAATTACAGTACTGTATTAGACTTACGGTACCTAATTTACATACTGACAGACAATAGTTAGCGTAAAAATCTCTGTAGCGTGGCGCCACGCTAGACGGCGGAAATTATATATTTAATTATAACAAAGTTACAATAAGTTAATATATAATTATATATACAGTACCTAATTTATATATAATTAATATATAATTATATGTACAGTACCTAATTTATATATAATTTATATAATACTGTCCAGACGATAGAAATCTCTCCGTAGCGTGGCGCTACGGACGGCGGGAAAGTAGTTCGGCTTCCCGATGACGTTTGAGGTGTTTATAGGGAACTTTTACTATTTTTTACAGATACCGGTAGCAATTTTTTCTTAGTTTTATAGGAATCGTAACTATAGGGACCGTAATTATAGGGGGGTCGACTGTATTACTTACAGAAAATAAATAAAAGGCTATGATCATTTCAACTCTCTAAAGTTTTTGTCTAATTATAATTATTTTTAAGTTAAATAATATTTCATATTATTATTTTATAATATATTAGTCAGTTAAATTTATTTATTTTAATATTTAAAGAAAAATAGCATTAGATGTATAAATTTTCAAGTGGGAGTAAAATTAATATTGAAAGTAAGATTTATTAAAGTGATATCGTAATTAGAACTTTTTCTGCCAGAATTCAATGAATCATTATTTTAAATTATCATTTAAATCATAAACTTAAGCAATATATAAAAATTAAAACTTTATAAATTTAACAAAATTTCAAGTTGAGATATTTTTAATTAGATTATCGTGGATTGTTCTTGAAATCTCATAATTTTCAGGAACAAATTTTATATTCTGACACCTATTTTAAAAAATGAAAATAGAACACCTTATAGCATTAATAATGATAATTTATTATTATTATAAATACTAGTGCCTTGTAGCACGAAATGGCCTTCGTCTTTAAAATAAAAATAAAATCATAACAGAAAACAAACATAAAAATACAATAAAATTAATTATATAAATAAAACAAATTATTATTAACGATTACACAAATTTTTCTTACACAGGTTTTCAAATTTATTATACTTTAAATATAGGTGATTATCAGATTTATTTAAAGTGACACAATAATTTAAACCATGTGAAATTTAAATAAAATACATTTACTGCTAATTCAGTTTTCACTTACCAAGATCTGCCTTCTAAATATTATATTATCTCCATATAATTTTTAAAAATAAAATGAAGTTTTTCTATAATACAGATTTTCATATTATATATAGAGTAAATAAAACTGCCACATTTTCAAATGTCAGGCACTGTTTTTGTTTCGTTTTATTTATAAATTAAGAAAATATATATATACCTAATTCTGCTTTTACACAAACTTTTTTAAACAATTTTGATTTTAACATAATTTAAAAATAATAATAATTTGTAAAGTATGATTCTAATTAGGAATTAGAGTTTCAATATGATCTGAAATTGTTAATGTCATCTTATAGAAAATTGTATAAAAGCCTAGCCACAATATGAACCCAGCCATTAATAACTGAATTTGTTCATAAAACCACTGTAACATCAGCACCCCAGGACATTATTGCTAATGTTATTCAGGAGTTCACAGAAATAACTTCACTTGTGGATAAAGAACACTATAACCAAAGCAGTTTTAGTGATAGCAGTGATATTGAAATCCTGCACAAACATACGTGTTTTATTGTCAGAAAGTGACAGCAAATAAAATCTTATTTATAATTCACATTACATATTCTGTCCAATTTTTATGTTCACTAACTCTTTATTTCCTCCCCCAAAAAAAGAAATTTGTTTTTTATGATTCATTTTTCATATATACAATGTATATTTTTATATGTAATTTTTGGGAACCAATCTATCGTGTAAAAGCAGAATCAGGTGTATACATAGGAGTTTTAATAATTTAAATATTTCTAAATATCATTTACAGATTATTTTATTTAGCCAGTGTATGATTTGGAAATATTTATTTTTGTCTGTAAAGAAGAAATTCAAAAAGCTGTTATTCAGTAAAATTGTATTTATTATTTCATTCCAAAGTGAAACTATTAACAGTCAGAATTGATTTGATGTTAAGAATCAAATTAATGTCTGTATTTATTTTATTACACAATAGCGTTTATCTTAATATGATCACACAAATGAAACACTAAACGAGCAATTATTTATTAAAAATATTGTCACAATGCCAGGCTACAATTTTTGTGGTGTCTTGCCCCTGTGCATCATACTTTTCCTGTTAGCAATAAAGTTGTGCCCAATCATCTACCTAACTCCTTTCAGGGGAAAATTTTTGAATTGAAATAACAAGACTTCCAGTTTGCATTGGAAATTCGTATATCAGGGCCTCTTGCCCCTAAGCTTTCCTTACCTAGTCTCGACTTTCATTTATCTAACTCCATTCTCAAGATTAAGGAAAGACAGACAGTCAACAACAGTGGGGATTTTTTAAATTGCAGCTCAATAAATTGAGGTTTTGGTTAATAGAATGTTCAACATATCTACAACACTCTTTTCATTTTTTCCCCTTAAATTTGATTTATTATCAATTTCACTATTTCATAAAATTTGAAAATTTTATGAAATAGTGAAATTGGTGCATTGTAAATAAAAAATTACTTTGAAAAGTAATAATATGTATTGGGTTGTTTGGAAAGTAAGTTCATTTTTTTTTCCGTGGAAAAAACAATAATTTTATAATAAATAAATATTTTATTGAATCATATATTGACCATTTTGGTCAAATACGTGTTGTTTTTGGTAGTAGCATCGTTTCTGGTAGTAGCATGATTTCACATTCATAAAAGTTTTGATCGTTGCTTACAAAAAACTGATCCAAGTGATTTTTGACATTGTCATTTCAATTAAATGTCTTACAGTTAAAAAAAAAAATTGTATAGACTGGAACAAGTAATAATCTGAGTGTGTTTGATCTGGTGAATATGATTGATGTGATAGCACGTACCATTTAAGTTATAACAGTTTCTGACGAGATACCAAACTTGTGTGAAATTTGACATTATTGTGGTAAAACACTGCACCTGTTTTGTTGATCAATTCTGGTTGCCTTTTCTGTTTGATGATATTACTCAATTTTTTTACTCGATGGCAGTACACTTTCGAATCAGTTGTTAAATAGTCTGGTAAAAGCTCCAAAAAAAATTACCTTAAAATCCCACCAAAGAGAGCATCTCTCTTTAAGAACATGGGGAACCCATATATCAAGCTTTGAAATGAAATCAATTTGTTTGTTTCAAGTAATCATAAACAGTTCAATTTGACAAATTTAATCTCTTAGTGATTTCACGTATTGGTATTCGGCAGTTTGCTTCAATCAGTACCTTTATTTTGTTTTTATTGACTTCAACTGGCCACCCAGAACATGGTTCATCTTCAATATTGAAATTGCCAGAACGAAATTTTGTAAACCAGTTTTGGCACTGTTGTTCTGTCAATACATCATCTCCATGCACATCACACAATTTTTTTCTCACTTGAACAGCATTCTTACCTTTTCAGTAATAAAAGAGCAAAATATGCTGAAAATGCTGCTTCTGATCTTTCATATTTTATGGGACACAAAAAATAAACAATTGCACAAAATCAAACAAAATTTTTTACAGATAAGCCTTAAATTGCTAGCTGTCAAAATATATAATGATAATAAGGTATAGAATGAAAATGACTGGAAAAATACGACTAATTTCTCTAGTGGTAAAAAACGAACTTACTTTCCGAACAACCTAATATATTAAAAATATATATTTAACAATAAATTTGATTATAAAAAGTCTCTCTCTAATTTTTGATTTATCCATATACATCAGAATTATTTTTTACATTATGTATGTAATGTACCATATAAAATAATTATTACACATTGAAAACATGGTTACCAAATTTTTGTAAGCTTTTGACATGACTTTGAAAGATTTAGCTGCATGAAATTGATCTGCATTTCATTGCATAAAATCAAATTTTAAAAAAAAATGTTTATTAATTGCTGTTTTTCAGTTTTAAAAATTTGTTAATAATTTTAAACTACATAAACACATAAATAAGCTGTTCTGTTAAACATATTTCTTTTATTAGACCTGGGTGAAGAACGGGTAACCCACTATCTCATCTATGATGTCTTGGAACGTTCATATTTTTGAAAGGCAGCATATATGTTTAGAAAGATAGGTAGATATTATGATCATCATAAATTTGAAATGTTTGTAAATTAGGCAGCATCTCTAGTTATATTTGGCTTTAAGTTTTGGTTTTGTCTTACTTTTTGTCTGTTCTATATTATTTAAATTATTCCATACCTGTTACTTGTAAAACATGTTTTTAAATTAAAACAAATCCAGTTAATTTGTAAATATTATTTATGATTAAATTTTAGATTTTTATTAATAATTGAAAATTATTTGAAATTTATTTAGTATGGTATTAATGGGTAGATTACCAAAAGAAAATTAATGTTAACTAATATATTTTAAATATAAAATTATTTTAATATTTTTCAGAATATTTTTTGCATGTATATTAATCAATTATTAGTGGCTAGTTTGTGTGTGATTGATTAAATTACCAAATATGCTGGCATATAAGTTGACTTTTTAAGAAAATCTTGGTCAACTTATACATAGAGTATAAAATGCAAAACATTAATACAAAGTGGTAAACAAGTGAAACAGTTCTCATTCACCATCACTGTGCACCAGTTACCATAACTCCATTAGACACCACAAATATTTTCCATTAAAAGTTGTATTTGGCAAGCTTACTTAGCATGGTAGTTTAGATTAGTACATAGATAAGCTTAGATTAATATGGTAAAAATTTAGTATAAATGAGCACTATATATGCTGTTTCTAACATCTGTGCAGTATAGTTAGTGTCTTAATTTAAGTGGTATGGCATTTTACACGTTTATCGAAAGTTACTGTATAAAGTAATTTCAGTACAACCTTACTGGAACCTACTATATGTTTGGAAACTGGCTAATACTCCAGCATATTAGGTAATTTTCTTTTTAAATTATCAATTGTTTAACAAGAAATGATACAGTACTGATAATTTTATGTTATGTAATTGATGTATTCACTATTATTATTATTTTTTTATTATAAATTAAAAAGTTAAATTTTATGTAATATAGGAATTATTAAATGATTTTAAATTCTATTCTTATTTCATTTTGTTTATTTTCAGACCTTATCATTTGTATATCCAGGCTCTTTTCATGGAGAAGAGATTTTTAATGAATTATTAAACTTTTTCTATGCCAATAATGAACGTGCTGCTGAACTTACTTTGCAGATATTAACAAATATTGGAGAAAGTATTGAAAAAAAATATCCAAATGTTGCACAGTATGTATTATAAAAATTTAATGTGAATTTAAATAATTTTTTTTATTTAATGAAAATTTATATAAGTGAAAAAATTTTAATTTTTTTATTTAAAAACTAACAAAAATTGTTGTATATAAATAAACAGATAATAACCATCTTATAATATTATCAACAACTAAAGAAACCCATGTTTGTTAATGTCCCATTGAAACTCCTGTTTATCATTTATTATGCAAATTTATTATATTTTGTGTTTGGTTATACATTAATATAACAAAGTAATGATTTCAATTACTGATTTTTATTGTACAGTATTTTGGAATACAGATGTGTAATGTAAATCAGTCTCTAATTAACCTAGTCTTGTTTTGCTTGCACAACAATGGTGCAAAAATTGCCCAATATTGTTTCATCCTGCAAACATTATATCAAAGTGTAATGTAAAATTGAGAAATCTTAAATTGAGTCTAAATTCTATTGTTTTTATGAAACAATAGAAGTCGGGCAATTAAAAATGAATGCATAATTGATATAAGTGTCAAATTGAAAAACATTAAAACAGGATTCCACTATATGTTTAAAACAAAATTTGAAACTTATTTTCAATGATCTGTCATTAGATAATGGTATTGAATGATGTGCTTAGAATAGAAACAACTATTTTAAAATGAGTATAACACTTTTATAATTTATAAAAAATATATATTTAATAATCACAATATATGAAAGGAAAAATAACAAAACCATGAAAGAAATCTTAAATTGTAGTGATGTTTTTAATTTTTAAATATAAGGAGGATACTTGGAGGATTGTTTAAATAATCCTGCAAATAAAACTAAGTGTAGGAATAGAACAGCAATTTCCAACTTTTTCGTGAAAATAGAAAATTTTATTTACTCTTGAATGTCTTTTAATTGAAGAACATTGGGTTGAACTTTTTACTGTCACACACATGCATGTGCATATACAGTAGAGCGTCAATTATCCAAATGTCGATCAACTGAAAACGTTCCATTCGAACTGTTTCATGCTGTATCAAACGTTTTTGATACTAGATTAACTTTTAAAGTGTATTTTTTTTTAAAATATATTGAAATATTTTGCTTGTACAAAATAAAGAAATAATTTTTAATGATACAACAGCCATGATTATTATTATAAAAATTTTCGTTAGGCTTAACACCAACGAAAATTCAAAACGAAGCGACACACAACAAAGAAAAATTTAAACATGGGATATATTAATATACTATTATTGGGATATACTAATATACTATATTAATAATGTATTTTTTCGTACATAATCGGTTATCTGAAAAATTGATTTTCCAAACAACCCCAGTCACCAATTGATTCGGATAATCGACACTCTACTGTACTTATATGTACATGTACAGGTACAGTGGTGCCTCATATTTCCAATTTACAGAGATCATCATTTGAACTCTGAATTGTTTGAAGTTAAATCAGTTTTCCCTATTAGAAATAATAGAAAGTGAATTAATCCATTCTCAGACTCTAAACAATTTCCATTTTAATGAATTGCAAATACACCTGAAGGTAAAAATAACACAGTTAAATGTCATAAATAAAAAATTAGAACACAAACAATAAATATGGACTAAAGTACTATGTAATAAAATGGAAATTGCATTTATGTATTTTAGTGAGTAGTATTGATGTCCCATTTTTTTAAGGTTGCTATGTAGCTTGCTTGACTTTCCCAGAAGTAATCCTCTTGAAGATGATATCACCTAATTGCTTATCGTTTATCTACATTAGGAGGAGTTTTTCTTGCTTATAAATAACATATGATCTCCTGGAGATTAGTGTTGTCACACCTTTAGTTACACTTGCTGCTTTTATTACTTCCTTATTCTTAAGAATAGTGCACACTATTAATTTTGACATACTAAACATGTCTGCTGGATCTGTCACACACGTATCTCTTTTGTACTTCATAAGTTCCATTTTTACCTTAACTGTTAATAGTACAACTTTCCTATTAGGCTTCATTGTTTTCACACTATTCTCGGGTGCCATGGTTAATAGGAAGGGGTTGTGTGCATAATCAGACACACCAAAAATGAAGTAAAAAGGCGCTGAAAACTGGTAAGAGTAATGCAAGAGATACTTTTACAGTGAGAACAAGAGAACAAGAGATGACTTGTTCTCACTGTACACAACATTTTATGTAGTGAGCACAATTCAAACTTCAGGAAAAATTTCTCTTGAAAATAGCATTTGAGCTCTGGAACATTTGATATTAGAGTTGTTCAAAGTATGAGATACCACTGTATATAAATATTATAGCACGAATTAATTAATGAAAAATAAATCAATCTGGTAATTAAATCATAAAATTATAAATCTGCTAATTTTATCATTATTTAGACATACAATGACTATGTAATATATGGAATTAAAATTTTGAAAAATGATTATATATCAAGTAATTGATAAAGAGAACATGCATTAAATAATAAATTGTGGAATTAATTATTTACTAACTAGTACCATTTTTTGCTTTTCCTGTAATATTGTATTTATGACTTTGATTAATTTACATTGATGACAGTCTAATTAAAATAATTTTTGTAATGTTACTAAAGTGAGACTATTCATACAATTTTCTATATCAAAATAGTTTTATTACTATATACATTATTTCAGTTTTTATAATTCAAACAAATATAAAATATTTCAATAAAATAGTTAAAAATGTAAAAATTCATAATGCTTTGTTTTTATTATTCTAGGAGACTTTTACCATTATTGAAAAATTTTGTTCAGAATGGCTCAGTAAAACAAGCTAAATATGCAGTGGCTTGTATCAATACAGCAGTGTCTAATAAAGAAAAAATTTTTGGAGAAATACTTGAGGTATTATTATGAACTTTAGAGTAATTTTTATGACAATATGTAGTTGATAAGACATTAATTAGATAAAGATAGTAGATGTAAAATAATTTTTCTTAGACGACTGTTGTAAAATAGTGTTTATGAATATTATGGTTTCTGGTATGGAAATTCTGGGAATTCTGACAAATTTGTGAAGGTTGATTCCTGTGAAAATGAACTTGAGTCCTGGAAATTTTTTAAGCTTTTAAATACTTGACAATATAATGATAATTCTTTCCCCTCTTACCTTATTATATTTGAATATTGAATAGAACTATTATTGATTATTAAATGATCTGCACTTTTTTCCAGCATTTGAAACAACATTTAAGTTTATCATCAGGATACTTTCGGACAGCACTTGTTTCAGTTGGACATATTGCTTTTCGTTGTTCAGATCTATTTGGTCCTCAAATAAAAAGTATAGTTTCCAAAGTAATAGTTAAAGAACTATTAATGATGGATTTGGTAATATTTTTGTTATATTTTTATATTTATTTATTCATATCAGTAATGAACTTTATATTGTTAAAATATTATTTAACTTAAAAGAAATAGAATTAATATAATCTAATTTTTAAATTAAAAGTAATTTAAAATTTAGGATGTACCATATTTTCTTAATTTTAAGATCTTTTTTAATGGAAGAAAAAATTTGAAAAACAATTTTATTGAGCATTAACAAGTTAGAAACTTAATACAAATGATGTGAAAAAATAATGTTTGACAGCTTTATTTCCATGCTCTTCTGCTTATATAACCATTTTAATATTGCATCATAATGACATTTTGAAGACATTTTAAACATTAGAAAAAAGAATTTAAATTAAATGCTTATTAGAAGCTTATTTGAATTGATGTGGCTATTCATTAATATAATCAAAAATTTTTATTATTAGTACATAAATCAAAATATTAAATATTAACAATAGTCATTTTTGGTCTTATTTGGCACAAATTAATTATCTTATTATCATGGTCTGATGATGGAATGGAGAAGTCCCAAAACACATTTAACCAAATAAAAAGATTTGACTCATATACTCTTCTTAGCATTTGATTTATTCTTAGTACAAAAGTATAAAGTAAAACTAAATTGAATTTTCAATTTTTGTGAAGAAAGTGTAATAATGAGAGAATTTCACACAGCTCTGTTTTAGGAAATAAGTTATAAGATTTTGTGGAAGAAGCCAATTCAATATTTTCTTTTAATCATTCTTAATGTTTACTTGTTTTTTACAAATTTTACAAAAATATTTACTATTAATTTTAAAAGTTCCATTTAAAATTTGTTTTAAAAATATTACTTATGCAGATTTACTTTACAGTTTATGCATTTTAGATTTATAAGAAAATGTCAATATATATAATACTTTTATTAATTAAAGTTGGACAATCTGCCAAAATATTAGGCTATAATAAGGCTAAGTTAATAATTACCTTTATTAATATAAAATCTAATGGTATATCTAAGTTACAAGCAACAGTGAAACTAAGTCAGCCATGTGGTGTAGGAATGCATTAGGTTGCAAATCCATTCATATAAAAATGAAATAATTTCTTTCAGCATATTCTAAATGAATAAATATTAAATTAGTTATAATTTTTAAATTTAATAAGAAATGGCACCTAACATCTACTACTAGTCAAACAATTGCTGTAAAGTACATCAGGCTTTCAGATGTTTATATATATATATATATATACATTTTTTCCGTATATGTGG